GGGGAGAATTGAGAGAGAGAGAGACAAACACACACACACACACACAAAGAGGAGAGGGGAACTGCTGGGGCCGGCCCGTATTGAAGAATATGGCCGAATTTACCCGGGCTGGCCGTATATCGGCGTATAACACGCACACATCATTTGCCCCCTATTTTCAGGGGGAAAAAGTGCGTGTTATACGCCGATAAATACGGTAACTACTTATGTAGGTAAATAAAAGGAATTATGTGTTAGTCATCAAATGGCTCAAAAAAAAAAGTCAGAACTTGGAGTGGAATTAAGATTTTGTGCTTTGGAGAATTATTGCTTTCAAGATATCTTTATTATCTAAGTGGTAATTATTTCAGGTTCTTTCAACTCCACCCAAAACTTGTCTTCATACATTTAGGTAAAAAAAATCAAGATTTTGTTTTTAGAGCAGATTATTTTGACTAGATATCTTCAACCTCAAGAAGTATTTTGAAGCTACACAACTGAAAACTATGGGATTGAAATCCAATATTGAACCTAAATTGTGGTTTGTTTGGGAATTTTATGACTAATTTAAAAGAACAGTTAATTTTTTTATCATTTTGTGTTAATTGTGTTAAATGATCAATTCTACTCCAACAGAGTGCTAGGCTGCATTAACAGAAGGATAGAATCAAGATCACGTGAAGTGTTAATACCACCTTATAACACCTTGGTAAGGCCACACTTGGAATACTGCATCCAGTTTTGGTCACCAAAATGTAAAAAAGATGTTGAAACTCTTGAAAGAGTACAGAGAAGAGCAACAAAGATGATTAGGGGACTGGATGCTAAAATATATAAAGACCGGTTGCTGGAATTGGGTATGTCTAGCTTAATGAAGTGAAGGACTAGGAGTGACACGATAGCAGTGTTCCAATATCTCAGGGGTTGCCACAAAGAAGAGGGAGTCAAGCTATTCTCCAAAGCACCTGAAGGCAGGACAATGGATGGAAAATAATCAAAGAGAGAAATAACCTAGAACTAAGGAGACATTTCCTGACAGTTAGAACAATTAATCAGTGGAACAACCTGCCTTGGAAAATTGTGAATGCTCCAACACTGGAAATTTTTAAGAAGAGACTGGATAACCATTTGTCTGAAATGGTATAGGGTTTCCTGCCTGAGCAGGAGGTTGGACTAGAAGACCTCCAAGGTCCCTTCCAATTCTATTATTATTATTATTATTGTTGTTGTTGTTTACAATCTATTTTTTAAGTTAGGTATGGATGTTTGGACAAGAATGGTAACTGTCTATATCCTTTGATTTAACTACTTATGTTTATGCAGTGAAGGGGTCTCAAAATAGGATTTGTAAATATTATTGTCCTCTGACCTAATTTTAAAAAAATAATCTATACATGGTGTAGCACTCTGTGAAATTGCCATATATGACTTCAACAATTCAATGTTTTGCAATGAAAAAGTGATTCATTTTTTAACTATGGTATAAGAAATGGAAATGTTGGGGAATTAGTATTTACAGGAATAAGTAAAATTACAATTTTTACAGATTTTTAGTGATCCTTAGTGAATACAATAAGTAAAAAGTTAGATTATGGGATTGAGTTATGTTCCAAAAGAGAGAATGCTAAACCCCAGCCCATAGAAAGTGCAATAGGCAGCACTCTCAGAAACCTCACTGAACCAATCTATGGCCTAAATCAAATAGTAAGTAATTTAAAAATTATGATTTAAAAGAAGTAGTTCTATAGTAAGGATATAGAGTAGTTATTAATGAAAACTAGATCAAAATAGTGCCTAAACCAGTGGTGGCAAACCTTTTAGCAACCGAGTGCCCAAACCGCAACCCAAAACCCATTTATTTATTGCTGCGTGCTGGGTGGGCGTGGCTGACTGGGTGGGCGTGGCCTCGGTGGTCACAACCATAATAAAAAAAACTTTTTCCCCAATAATTTTTTTCCTAGCAGCGAGGCAGAAGAGCAGAGCCCCGGAGCCGTTTCTGCCCACATCTTTCTCATTCTCAATTCTCTTGCCTGCGTGTTGTCTGCACCCCACCCCCTCAATTGCTCTACGCTTCGCAGCCCAGGGAGTGAGATTCACACACACCCCGCCTCAGGGCCCCGCTCCTCTGCCTGGTGCTGGCAGCTCCATCATCTGCAGCAGCCGGAACAAGAGGCAGGTCACAGCAGCCCATTAATCTTTTTGCTGCATCGACACCTGGGAGCTTGCTATTTCCCCCCTCCACCCAAAAATCTAGGTCGAGGTGCAAACCCAGCTCATGTGCCTTTGCTCAGGAGGAGCAACTTATTATGGTTGTGAACTAAGCCGTAATAAGAGAAGTTTTACTTCTCACCAATTTATGGGGGGGAGGAAGCCCTTGCCCACCTGGGCACATCCACTCGATGGAACTCATGGGGGTGGCTTCTGCTGCTGCTCTGACCGGTCAGCAGGGAAGCAGGAGGAGGTGGAGGGGCAGCTGGGGTCTGGAGCTGCCTCAGCTGCTCACTAGCAGCCTGAGGCAGCAGATTCACGCACCAGCTGCCCCTTCTGCTTCCCTGCAGGGCTGATCAGTCAGAGCAGCAGCAGAAGCCACCCCCATCAGATCCATCGAGTGGATGCATCCAGGCCAGGCAAAAGCTTTTTTCCGGCTATCCCAGAGCGATTTCTGCCTGCGCCGATGGGGTTATGTGGCCAGTCCGCCATTATGCAGGACAGCCAGCATGCTGTGGCTACTGACGGACACCATCGGCTCCCATGCGATCGCTGGCTTCTGTGTGTGGGGGGGGGGCGATAGTGTCAGGCAGATCTGGAAGCAAAGCTCTGCTGACCATCCTCGCGCTGGTGGCGGCGGCTACGGGGGAAGGCAAGATCTGGCATGCGGGCACCCTTTGCCACTGCTGCCGCATTGTCCCGCGTGCGCCTCCGGGCGGGGAGGGGAGGGCGTCTGCCACAGCTCACCTTCCCCCGCCACTGCCCCAACCAGCGTGAGGATGGTCGGCAGTTTTGCTTCCAGATCTGCGGCTGGCCGGGCTTGGCGATGCAGGGATCACGCCGCCGCCTCCTGCTTCTCTGTGTGGTTGGCCAGTCAAGGGGCTCAGAGCAGCAGCCGCCGCCCCCGTCAGAGCCACCCTGTAGACAGGACCTGCACCAGGTGAGGGCTCCTTTCCAGCTGTCCCGGGGCTGTCTCCGCTCAAGCCGATGGGGCTGCAGTGCGGAGGGAGATGGCTCTGATTTCACTCACTCTCCTGCCAAAACTGCTCCTTTTATATGTTCCCTCACCTCGCCCAGCTCTTGCAGCTGTTCCCGGACTGCGCATGCGTGGAGAGGGGGAGGGGGAGGAGCCCAGAAATGGCGTGCGTGCCCACAGGAACGGCTCTGCGTGCCGCCTGTGGCACGCGTGCCATAGGTTCGCCACCACTGGCCTAAACCAACATATAGAAGAGTATATCTGAAATCTGAAGCAGCCAGGAAGAGGAAATAGTAAACAACTGAGTCAGAAAGATCATTAGTATGAATGTTGAAATCAACAAGCAGCTAAGTCAAGGGTCTGACTGAAGTTTGAATTGATATATGAAGAAAGTTTATATGAATACAGAACTGCAACCAAATGCAAACAACAAACAAACAAACCTCCACAGAATGAAGGATAGGCTAAAATGGGTAGGACTTGGAAATATTTTTTCAGTGAGAGAAAGTGACTACAAGGATCATAATAAGAGGAACAAAATAATGTAGGCTGATTCAGGTAAGAAATTTTCTATGCTGTTGTGCTCTGCCCCTCCCATGCTGGAAATGTGGATGCCATTCCTAAGTGAGTATTCTAATCTCTTGAATCCAAATGAAATGTCACACAACAGGAAGTTCCATTTTAGTCTTCTGAATTGATTGATCTCTTTTTAAAATGTTAATGTGTTTTGGAACATTTTTGGAACACCACCCCATAGTTATTACCAGTATATCTGTCCTTAGGAACACCAAACTAGAAGGGTGGATGGAAATAGTGAAATATCCACCTGCAAATTTAAATGCCTGCTAGGTAGATTTTACCTTTTATTAACACTATCTGAAGTCCAGTGACAATGCTATTTGCATTACCTTTTCCTTATGAATTCTGAATTAAGAGCATTTTCTTCTTTCAAGAGTAATGATAAAGTAATGCATTTTTAACACTCTGAAGAACGAATGTATTGCTTTCAAAAACAGCCTCAGAGAGACAATTGTTTTTCATCCCTCAATTGGAAAAGTTGAAACATTCATGCCATCAAAATACAACAAAATGTCTATGACTTACGTATTGCATACTGCCATGGTCTGACACGACTCTCCTGTACAGAATTCGGAGATGGTACTATACTGTAAATTAATATGGTGGAAGAACGTTGTTGCTGAAAGACAAAAGAACACCAAAGTTTCCATTATTACTCTACATCACGAGTGTCAAACTTGCTGTGTCACTGATGTGTTGTGACGTATCGCAACTTTTTTTGCATTGCTGGAGCTGGGGTGGGCGCAGCCTCCGCATGATGCAACCGGCCCACAGGCCGGCAGTTTGACACCCCTGCTCTACATGTTTGGATGCTAAAAAAGAGAGCTTAAGAGCTGGGAAATTAGATATAACTGAAAGAGTTCATTCAGCATTATCACAACTATCCAAACATTTTCTTGCTGAAAACTGAATTAGCTATAGCTGGCCCTTGGTATCTTAGGGAATGCCTTTTGCCAACAATTTCTCATGAACCTATCTAAATGACTAGGCAGCATTCTCTAAGGCAGGGGTCTTCAAACTTGGCCCTTTTATGACTCTGGCTGAGGAATTCTGGGAGTTGAAGTCCACAAGTCATAAAAGGGCCAAGTTTGAAGACCCCTGCGCTAAGGTTTCTCCTGCTACCAAGTAAGTAGAAAAGAGGGGCCCTGATGGTGGACATTGCCTATAAAGGAATTTTCCTTCCTTTAGAAGAGTTTGTCCATGAGGCAAGGATGCCCCCCCACCCATACAGCCTTCAAGAAAGAGGTGAACACATATTTCTTTTTTCTTTTATATCTTTTATCCTATCTATCTATCTATCTATCTATCTATCTATCTATCTATCTATCTATCTATCTATCTATCTATCTATCTATCTATCTATCTATCTATCTATCTATCATCTATCTATCTATCTATCTATCTATCCATCTATCTATCATGTCTATCTCATTTATATGGTCAACCATCTCACAGAAATGGGCAGCATACAACAATCAATGAAAACAACAAATATATAAAACAGTTGCTATAAAACAAAATCAATACAAAAATAAGAAGACATTAAAAAATAAAATCTATAAAGCCATACAAAGATAGTAAAGAATCACCTACAATAGAGTCATTTAAAAGTGTTCCCAGTGCCCCGAGACCCCAAGTCTGATGACATAACTAAGTCTTGAGGGACTTCTGGAATGATAACAGGGATAGAGCTAAACTGACTTTGGGGATGGGGGGAAGAGAGTGGTCCATAGGGCAGGTGTTACAGCAGAGAAGGCCTGCTTCCTGGGACCCATCAAATAAAGACCCTGATGGATGGTGTCTGCAACTTCTAACTCTGGTAGATTTAATGGGGTGGGCCAATGTAATTGGAGAGAGGTGGTCGTTCAGATAACCTGATCCCATGTCATGAAGGGCTTTAAAGATTAAAAACCGCACCTTGAATTGAACTCAGAAGCCAACGAAGCTTGCGGGCCAGAGGTGTAATACTATATGTGCTGTTCTGGGAGCACACATAACTGATAGACATCAAGAACTGGAATATGAAACTAGTATAAGACAATTATTCTGTATTCCCAGTGAGTGGCCCACTCGCACAATACCTCTCCATGGTGCTCCTCCACTCCCTGGCATGGTGCTCCTCCACTCCCTCCATGGTGCTCCTCCACAATACCTGGTCTCGCACAATACCTCTCCATGGTGCTCTTCCACTCCCATGGCAACCTCATCTCCAAAACCAAGACGAGGGACCAGGCACTTCCCATTGTCCTCACCAAGCAAGAGGGAAATCTCTCAGCACCAGCAAAACTGCCAGCTGCCCTCTCTCCACACACTACTACCCTCCCCCCCACATATCACAAGATTCATATACACATGTACAAGCAGGCTCCCACCCGTGCTGCTCTCACCAGCTAGTGGAAGGCTCCTCACATCCTTCAGTTCAAAAAGAAGCTTCTTGGATAAGAAGTGAAATATTTGCAAGGAAAAAACTAAGAAAATTCACTTGCTTTTTTAAAGCACCTTTGGGACAACCATGACCTGGATGATTGAGAATCTCCATAGACGCTTTGCAAAGCAGCTCTTTCACTCTCAAAGAGGCTGGCTGAAAAGGATCACTCTCGAAATCCAAGCAGACATCCAAGCTTGGATTTCAGAAAGGTCCTTTTCCAACTAGCTGCCAGGAAGCAAGACTCCCCTTAATTTTCTCATGCTTTTGGATGGGGGGGAAGAGGCTTGTTTCTTGTGAAAGTGGTATAATATAAACGTGTTAGGGAAAGGGTTGCCAGATTTTGGTCAGTCTAAGAACCACCTCTGAAAGTGGAAAAGAACACATCTCACATGGAAGAAGGTATTGAGCATTTTCATTTTTTCATGGGTCCAGTCCAAAAGCAACTGATTTAATCTGCTGGAGGTGGGTGGGGTGGGGAAGACAAACATTGGCAAGCAAGTGGTGGCTCTTTCTGTCTTGTCCGTATCCTTGAGATCTATGAGCTGAAAAGAATCCATAGAAACATGACAACCTATGCCATCCCCCAGCACTGAAGCAAATGAGCCAAATCCAAAAGATTTTGTTTCAAAACTCTGAATACAGTATTTTTTATATATATAAATATCAAACTGAATGCAGATTATTTGCATTTTGGTGAACATTAACAGCCTGCTTTTATCTACTCTTTTACTTAGGAACATCTTTGATTATGAAAGACAACCAGCGCAATGTTCAGTTGTTGCAAATTTCATAATACTTACTGTTGCTAGCTAGCCACTCATTAAGATCTATTTCACGTGGTAATATAACTAATTCTTTGAATTCAAAGTCAGTAATCCTGGACTTCGTATATTCTGGTTCAAGATATAGTTTCTTTTCTTCTGTTGCAGGCTTTTTACCATTTGGTTTTCCCTTGGATTTCCTGCAAAAGAAAAGGAGAAAAAAATAGATCATGGATTAAAATTAGAAATGTGGGTTATCTAAACTTATGCTTTCTCCAATTTAGCCTGAAGTTTTTAAATGTTTCTCTGAAACATTTCTTGGAAATATTTGCCAACGCTACAATCACACCATACTGTTATATGTTTCTTTTTGTGTGTGATTAAGAAAGCAGCAATCCCCTCTTTTGCAATTTCCAATCCCCAATTTTCATTCTAATCTTCTGAAAAGAAAAAAGAAAAAAAACCTTTATATGTGTGTACTTCCATAATCCAGATGTAAAATAATATCTTCAGCTTCCAAAACTCTTAATCAAGAGGGTTTTTTGCTGGTGTTCTGAGAATTCTGGGAGTTGAATTTTATACAATAGGAAAGGAGTCCAAGGTGAAGTTTGTTATTTCAAATAATAAGATAATGAAGTTTTGTTTTATTAATCAAGGAGAGAAGCGACCTAGAACTAAGGAGAAATCTCTTAACAGTGAGAACAATTAACCAGTGGAATGGCTTGCCTTCAGAAATTGTGGATGGTCCATCACTGGAGGATTTTAAGAAGAGACCGGACAGCCCCTTATCTGGATTGACATATAGGTTTCCTACTTGAGCAGGGAGTTGGAGTAGAAGATATCCAAGGTCCCTTCCAATTCTGTTATTCTGTTTTGTTCTATTTATAGTTCTTGTATATATCCTAATAATATACGGCTACATATATGTACATTGTTGACAAATATTTTCCTTTCGTTCGGTTCATGGTTCATGATTCACTAACAATCTATTTTATTGAAGCCTCCCTCTGCCGGAAGATCAATTAATGCTGTGTTCTGTAATTCATATGTTCAATCTAGAAGAGAGCAGCTTCAAAAATGTGAAATTATCCATAATGTTAATGAACCATCCAGCTGGCATTCTGGATTGTCAAATACACAGAATAACTTGGTCACTAACAGTTTGTCAATATTGATAAGAAGCTTCTGTGAAAAATTCAAAAAAAGATATATGGAACTTCAAAAGCTTTATTCCAATTATGTTGTATTTGTTTCTTGACTCTGAATTATATTAAAATAAATCTCTAAGTCCCGTGCTCTTGTAAGAGTCACTGTTGTTATACTACTGGCTTTTGTTGTTGTTGTTATTTTACATTTAATGAAGTGAGATTCTGACTCTTAAATTTCTTTCTTTTCATTTACATCTCATTTTTTCTCCAGATATTTTAAGGCTGTAAAACTCAGATTCCCAGGCTGTTTCCCATCGAGTCAGGCTTGTGTTTTTCCTCTGGCCTCCGTTCAAGCAGAGTCATGATTCAAATGACAAGTACTATTCAGCAAAAAAAGAATGTGGAGATTTGTGCACTTGTGAAAAACCTGAATCTTTCTTTCTTAGTCTAGCTAACTATAATCATTGGAGGCCATCGGACTGACCTCTTCTTGCGCAGTGTCCAGCTGCAATCATGGATCCATTTGTCCAACTAGTAAACAGTACAAATCCAGTTGAAACGAAGCACTTTGCCTCAAGCTAGCCAAGAAAGCACACCACCCTGTGTTTGTCTCATTCCAAAGAAAGTCCTGTTAAACCTCTTGAAAACTGCAGACAAACTGGCTAGAGTTGTGTGGTATGTTCTTTAAGGAAAATCTCATCGTAGAAAAGGATTTGAAAAGCTACAGAATAGACAAAAAACAAAGAATACAGTAGTCTTAAAAATATTTGCCAAAATTGACATTACTTGAGTGAAATGGAGTTAATATTACAGAGTCCTCAGCCTGAGATGTAATCATAATGGATTTCTGGCTCCAGTAAAAGGTTAAGCTCAGTGACCTTTGAGCATCCTTTTAATTTCATGATTCTATATATCCAACTCTGGGTAAAGTTTAAAGGCACACTGTACAAACATGGACCATTTTTGCCACATTCAAAGAGATTGTTTAATAAGGTTTCTCTTTGGATTGAAGTAAACTACAAGTAAACTTGGATTAGTTTACTTTCTTTGCTAGCTTCAGGTGAAATGCCTCATTTCAACTGGATTGGTACTATTTACTAAGCAGGATAAGCAGGAATTTGATCCTCATGGGTGGGGAAAAATTATACAGTCTATTTCAAATTATTACAGTCGAGCTATTGACTGTAGCAACAACAGAAAGGGGCACCACTGTTTTCCTGTGGAGGAAAACATCATACTAAAGTTAACAACTGATATTGTTACATTTCCTCATTTAAGATCGAAGACTGTTGCTACTTCAAAGGTGAGATTGAAAAAAATAAATTGTATCTTTTAGGCAAGAGCAAATATCCACAAGGAAGAAGGGAAGAGGACAAAGAAGACATTATTACATCAAGAAACCAACAGCCCTCATAAGATAAGCATACAATCAGTCAGGGAGGTGTTTTAGGAAGCAAAGAGCTTGAAATTAAAAATAAACAAAACATGACTGGTTATATGTAATTAATATTAAAGTGCTTACTGAGAATGCATGTAATTTGCTGAGCTATCTGTTTTTAGCTTGACAACTCAACATAAAGCAACCAAAGGTCTCAACTATTTAGGGCTGGGAGGCACATTTGAGATTTTAGGAATATTCATAAAACACCATCAACCAGCAGGCAAACCACTGATGTTGTTCTTTGCTCCCCCCCTTCAACAGTATAAAAACCACCTACCCTTCCAATTTTCTTTCATCTTTTAGAGAGCAAGTGGGCACAGTTATGAACAAAAAACTGAGGTGCAGACAGTTACCATTCCTATTTCCAGAAAATGTCTATGGTGATGCTGAAGGTCAATACTCTGCAGCATGCCAACTTGGACTCTGAAGGAAGTGTCCATCGGCACAATGGTGCACATAAGCAGCATATTTGGAGATCTAGGACTCTTTTTAACATGACATCATATAATATCATGATATCTATAATTAGGTTTTATTACCTAAAACAGTGTTTCTCAACCTTGACAATTTTAAGGCATGTGGACTTCAACTCCCAGAATTCCACAGCCAGCATTGCTGGCTGTGGAATTCTGGGAGTTGAAGTCCACATGCCTTAAAATTGTCAAGGTTGAGAAACACTGACCTAAAAGGTAATAAAATATATCCATTCCACTTTCTTTAGAAAACCATGTTGAAGATATATGGGGAAATAACATAGGTGAAAGAGCTGAAAGTGTGTTTTACAAATCAGCAGAAAGTTCATATTTTATAACTCTCAAGTTCTTCAGCGCAGGGCTGGGCAGCTCTTTAAAATCCTGGCTACTTTTCAATTCTGCAAAATCCTGGCTCCTATTTGTAAACATAAATGTGCTGGGCAAAACAAGCAAATTATTCACACTAAAAGTTTTCACAAATCATCTAGCAACATCTATGCTTGCTTCTGCAGCACAAGATATTCTTTCTATCAGTACCTGATTAATCTGTATTCCTTCCATTACAAATACAGAATACAGAGTAAAGAGGCCAATGAAAAGCCTGTTTCATGCAAAGTCTATTTCATGAGGCTTAAATGTCAGTTAGCATTCAGTTTACGAGTAGGCTTTTCTTTCTGGGTGGCTCAAAAATCACTTTAAATCTCTTACAGTCTCTAAGGAAATAAAACTCAACTGCTGTAGCCGGGAGAAACAGATGTGAAAATGTATATTTTTTTTTCTCAAGGAACAACTGATCCAAAAGCTACCCAAACCAAACTTGACAGAAATGACATAGGCACAAATCAGAGAAAAGGGAGAGCAAAACAGAAATGAATGCCAGGAAAAATGGGTGGGAAATAGTACAATAGATAAGGTTGTGTTGCTTTTAACTTGTTCTAAACACAACCTATTCCAAATATAGTTGAGAAGAACCAGTGTTGGAAAAACTTCATTGTAGCAGAGTTTACATAAAGCAGGGGTCTTCAAACATGGCCCTTTTATGACTTGTGGACTTCAACTCCCAGAATTCCTCAGCCAGGCACACTGGCTGAGGAATTCTGGGACTTCAAGTCCACAAGTCATAAAAGGGCCAAATTTGAAGATCCCTGACATAAAGCATCCTCTTCATGGAAGCTCTCTGTGAGCCTCAGGGTTGTTATTTTGCTGTTCACAAAAGCTCCTACCAGCTTCTCACTTGGACAAACTCTCCAAGCACATGGCCAAATTTTGTTCTTAATTTTATTGTGCTTGTCTCAGAGAAGAGGGTGCCTGACAGATGACTTCCAAGCAAATCTCAGCTTTGAGGTTGAGGGTGGAAAAGGATATATAAAGATTCTGGGAGATAGAACTCAGACATCCATGCCTTAATCCCAACTACTTCCCACTATTTTTTTTATTTTATTACATCACTGAATAATTTCTTATACCTAATCAGGGGATGGGATGAGTTGTAGGTTCTGAAACAAAAAGACTGCCCATTTCTGTATGAAGGGCAAGAAAATTGCTTCCTACTTGCAGCTAGTTTGTATACTTTTAACTACTAGGTTCATCTTATTATTTTTACTCTATAATCTTATTTTTTAAAATCTATTAAGAAAATTCATTTTTCAAAAGTCTCTCAAAATACAATCCCTTAGAGTGATATTGGTATGTCTGAAGTGTCTATGGGTTGAAACATTTGCAAAGTCAAAATGCTAATGAATAACTTAATTCTAGTTCACACATCTTTATAAAGTTAATTGTAGGCAGCTATGATCTCAATAATTAACAACAACAACATCTTATAAATAGCAGGCCTAAATAGTTATTATAATAAATCTCAACCACTAGTTAATAATTAGGTTCCAAAAACCTTTTCCCGAGCATCATTAATACTTTACTTCTTAGATTAGCCTTGATGGTTTTTAAAGTTTGGTGATGTTGAAAACTTGCAAACCAATTTCCAAACACACCTGGTTGAGTTGCACAGATGGAAACACATTATTTTGTACCTGGAAAGTGATATCAAGGAATAAAGCTCACACCCACTATCAATTGTAAAAGTCCCAAGCATAGCTAAATACCTCTTTAGAAGAATGTATTTTCTTTTACGGTGAACA